ATATCAGCTATTATTGCCCATAGTTTGAATGTTGGCACATAACATGGTTTTATTATTTGATTTAAAAAGTCAAGGGATTTTTTTTGCACAGTTCACATACTACCAGCTGATGCACGAACATTAATATAGCTGAAATTCAACAAAACCTAAAATTAGATGTAAAGTGCATATAGCAGGTATTGCAAAATCAACAACGATATATGTAGATATATTCTCTTGTAATAACCTACCCGTTAATATATTTTTAGATTCTAGTAGCATTACATTTCTACTCCCAAGGTAGTTATCAAAAAGCTGTAGGACAGGACTATTTTCTACCTATGAGCCAGGCATCAGTATCTCGGTCAATAGCATCCGTAAACTTAGGTCTGGAAAATTTGTATTACAAAATTCATTTTCCAGTTACAGATGAAGAAAAATTAGGTGTTAAGAGAGGGTATGTTACTATAGACATTTTTAATAATTAGATTTTGAAGGAAAACTATGAATTTTAATAAAACAATGACTAAAATAAAACTGCTAATTTATGAAATAGGCCAGGTATATTAATATGACTATTAAACATTAGTTTTGATATTGGTTTTATTAAAATAAAAAAATATATATTATATGCTGACAACTGCCGATTTAATGTTATGTGGTGCATTAAATTAGTAATAAAATTAGCTTTCAAATGAAGTGTCACACTTTACCAATACATAAGTTTTCTATCAACATATAGAGGGCGCTAAAATCAAAAGTAATGCACTGATTAGTCATAATACCGAATTCTTCATAAAATTACCATTCTAATGATGTGTCACACATGGTATATTCCATATTTAAAATTAAGGGATTACAGAAGTGGAAGGGAGGGGGTTGGCACATGACAAATGTCTGTAATGTAAAAATGTCTACTTTTGAATAAAAATCGACCTGTTTTAGCATTTTCTTAAAATCCAATGAATACAGCCAAATAACAGGGTGGGACCTTTTCGTTTGGCCACCCTGTATGTATATTTTAGTTTTGTGTACCATTTAGAATAATAATTCTGTAATCTACCTACTTAATAAAAATTATAAATTATTTTAGATTTCTGGATATGAATAATGGTTTTCCAGGTATCATCGGTGCTATTGATGGAACTCAGATTGCCATAAGAGCGCCACCAGTTAACGATGAAAATTTTCCGGCTATAGTATTTTATAACCGCAAAGGATTTTATAGCCTTAATGTTCAAATTGTAAATATAATTCGTAAATACAAATTCAATTTTCACTTAAATATATTATTTTACAGATTTGTGATTCTAAAATGAAAATATTAGCAGTAAATGCCAGATTTCCAGGCTCCGTTCATGATGCGGGCATTTGGGCAACTAGTCAGATAAGGCAATTGCTTCAAAATAGTTATATTGGTGGTGATCATTCATCCTGGTTAATAGGTATGCATTTTTGTGGGCTATTATATATTTTTTTATCTGTTAAATGACTAAAAATTATAGTATTCATTTAAGGAGATTCTGGGTATCCGTTGGAACCATGGCTGATGACTCCAGTTGATGAACCAAATGAGGAAGCCGAGCAAAGATATAATTCTGCACATAGAAGTACACGAAATGTAGTTGAAAGAACCATAGGCTTATTAAAAGCAAGATTTCGGTGCTTATTGAAGCATAGGGTATTGCACTATGACCCGATAAATGCTGCTAAAATTATTTATAGTTGCTCAGTTCTCCATAATATTTGTGTTGACAGAGACGAAGTTGAGGAGTTTGAACCAGTGGGTAAGTTCAGTAAAAAATATCACATTTACATTTTTAAATTGTGGGAGTTGTAGTAATTTTAACCCCAATTAAATAATTATTAGATTTAGCACTGTCATTGAATGTTTGTAAGCAGCATCTTCCCCCACTATGTACTTGTTTTATAGCAGTAGTTACACTACTTGGTTAGTTAATTTTACTTGTTTATTACAGTGGTTTTTTTCTTGTCAATATTAGTTTCTTTTTTACAGATATTCTTGACGCTGGAGATGATCATCTGAATAATCACAATCCAGGTGTAAATCCAATCCGCAATGAGGGGCGAAATATAAGAAACAGAATTTTGCGGACTTACTTTTTAAATTTTTGATATAGGTATATTATGTTTTTATTTTGTTTCAAATATGCTGACCATTTTTAATTGGAATTAAAAAAATACAAACAACTGCGTCTTTACTTCAACATATTTACATAACACAATGTTGGCTAATAAAAAAATAATATTTGATAAAATAAGTTATATATACATTCAGTTTTTAAAACAAAAAATGTATTAAGGCATAAATATTATAAATAATCTATTAAAAGCATTTACAACATTATCGATGGATTTTTGAAGATTGTAAAGTATGTTGCACATCAGAGAATGTTGAGTTTTATACAGAAGTTTAATTCTTTCCTGAGCTTTTGTATGTCCTGAAATACATAATATGTATAGAGCTGATGATACAGGAACCATGAACTACTAATTTACAGGAGAATTGTACTGACAAAACATGACCAAAAAGTAACCATAGGTTTTAAAAATGACATTAATGTGCAAGGACTAGGTACTTGCTTCTGATTTATGGAATCATTTTTATTCGTGTCAAACTTTTGATCTGTACAATTATTCTCTAAATCTATGTTAATAAAAACTTATATTACTTTTTCTCTGCCTATATTTCTTATATGGTTTCCGCTGATGAATGTTCACCCTGTTGGTCTGTTGTTTTATTTTCTTTAAACCTAATTCACATATGGCAATACCAGTGATGGCCACTTTGTTGATAATGGAAATTAACCAATTTTCTATGTCACTTAAATTTTTGTTGATTGCTGGACCTCCACCAGTTTGTTGTTGATGGTAAAATATTTCTCTAGCCTTTTTTTTTGTTTTGCACACCCACTCAAAAAAAGTCTACAAAGTAAGATGTAATTCAGTAGGTAGTAAAAAATTTCTAACTTTGTTAATTTTTACTTGTCTTACACATAGTATGGTAAACATATTCAGCTCTTGTACAAAAGAAAAGAACAATAAAGTGAAAATGTATACATACTTAGGTATACCTTTCTGATTGGAAAATAATTTCAATATTAATGTAATTTGAATAAATGTTATTCTATGTCAAAATTACCACTTTTGGATTATAATTTTCCATAAGGTGGTTTTTAAGAAGTTTTTGTGTTCTAAGCAGACATCATAAATATAAGGCATTTAATTACATAGGTACTAATACCTATATCACTTGTAAGATTTAAAAAATTGTGCTACATTTACCTGTCGCCACTTTTCTGTTGATTTTACAGCCCCTCTAATACAATTCAGTTCCCGACAAAGAGTTTCAAATTCATTTTCAGGTATTTTGCTAAATTTGTATTTTTCTAGCAGCAATAATTATAATCTGTATTGTGACTAGTTTTATGAGCTTTTTCTAAAAAAAAAAAACTACTATTAAAATTAACATTTATTTAAAATAAAAAGTATGTAGGTACCTACATCCTTTAGAACATAACTAAAAATACATTCTTTAGGTACCTATAATAAATAAACAGTAAATAAAAATAAAAAGTCATTCTTTTGAACAAAAAAAATACATCCCTTAGCAACAAAAATAAAAGTAAATAAATAAACAGTAAATAGTCATTCTTTTGAACAAAAAAAAAATACATCTCTTAGCAACAAAAATAAAAGTACATTCTTACAACAAAAATAACATTTCTTAAAAATAATATAAATGTAAACAGAAAAAATATTTAGGTAGCGGTATTAACGTTGTATGAAGATAGTCTATCTTCATACAACGGTATTAAGACATATTAATTTTTTTTTTTCATATAAGTCACAAAATCTGTTTATACCCATGGCAATGTTATTAAGAGCCCCTGCTATTTCTCCCAAAGTACTTCTCTCCTCTTCCTGGCCCTGTCTATAAGCATCAAGTAGAGGATTCGCAGATCTCTTTTTAGTTTTTTTTGTTTTGGGATCCGTAGTTTTTTCCACCTCTATCAACAAGATTTCTTCTTCTTCATCCTCTTTTTCCTCATCCTCTACAACTGCGTTTTCGTCTGTTTCATCCACCTCTTCAACTTGAAACTCATTGATTACAGGTTCATTTACACCTAACTCGTTTAAAAATCCCACAACTACAACATTCCCCGTTTCATTAAGTAGCTCTTCTTCCAATTTCGATAGTTCCTTATTTGTTCTTGCTTTTTTTCTGACGGCTGTTTTCCATTCCCTAAATACCTAAAAAGTAAATATTGTAATATTTGTGTATTTCAGGAAATGATTACATACCTTTTTCCATTCAGTTGCAGCTCGTGTAGGTCCATCTCCTACGGCATTTAAATCAGTACACATCTGATCCCAAATATTCTCGATATCCTTAGGAATAATACCAGGAGTCATTTTGTCCGTTTTTAGAACATTATGTTCTTTAATGTATTGGACATAAATCTCGAATTGCTTCTTGGAGGTTCGTTTTCTTTTTTCTTTTTCCATATTTCCAAATACTATTTCAATAGAAACTAAAAAATCAAATTTACAAATCAAATAACCTATAAATTCCAATTGAGAAGAAACCTTCAGGTTGCGCAGTCGCAGAGCGATTTAGATAAGCACAGAACTGCTAGTTCTTGCGAGCGTAGCTAACTTCTCAAATGTCTTGTTTTCCAACGTTGAATACAAATGAACGTTGAGAACTTGCGGCCACGAGAATACAAACATTTACTCAACGTTCAAAACTTCCATTGAAAGCGGCAGTGAAACTTTCCACCGTTGACTTATTTTCAATGGCCACAAGAATAACCCTGAATGATTTTAAATCTCCAGCCATTTTTTAAAGTTGGTTATTCAGTACGTTTTTCTGAAATTCAGTACGTTTTAAAATGCTTTTCAGTACGATTTGTCATTTTTATTTTGGCAGCCCTGCTTGAATCATGTACCTGTCAAAAGTGTCAAATAGTTAACCTCAAATTTTGTGAGAAAAATTTGTATTTTGTATCATGGCCGACGTTTGGCCAGGTCACCGTTTTAGCGATTTCTAATTGATATACACACTTGTTCCTAATTTATAGAATATTTGTGTAAATTTAAATCATTCAAAATGGAAAATCTTCTCCCTAGCATGTGGAAAGTTCGGGATTTAGCTGATAAGGTGTAAGTTACAATATTTTTTATACAGATGTTTGTTTTTTTCTTGAAACGTTACCTGCCACTGTTGTGTATTCGCAACACTACAGTTTTTTTTGTGTTATTAAAAATTTTATGTAAGATATATGAGGCACATAGAATAATATTATCTTTCAGTATAAAGTTGGTTTATCCCCATATTTTACTTTTTGACCGAAATATAGCGGTACTCATTCTGTAATAGTTTTTCATAACAAAAAATGTTCCATGTAGTAAATTTTGAAACCACTTCAATATTAAAACAGCCCTATATGGAGATAGACCACAGTTATTCTATGTTTGTTTTTTTAGTGAATAGCATTGTTTAATAAAACTACAAAAAAAAACATTTTTCCTAAATAACTAATTAAAATTGTGTTGATGATGAAGCGTTTTTTGATTTATTGTTAAAAACACAATGGAACATGGTACTCTCGCTTAACAAGCCATTACTAGCTCATGACAAATTCATAGACATTTTAACCAAGCTAATATATCAGTGTATAACGGCAAAGAGTATAAAAATAGAAGATGATAAAAAGATTAAACCTTGGATTACTGATGTAATAATAACTTCGATAAAACAGGGATAAGTTAAAAAACAAGTAAATAAAAACTGACAAAATATAGAACTTTTTAATAATAATAAAAACTACAGAAACCAACTAAATAGAATTATTGTGACTGTCAAATCAATTTATTATGCAATCATCGTAAACCCCAAAGACATAAAAAAAGTTACGAAGTTTTAAAAGAGGCGTCAAATGAAAACACCAGTAAGACAACAGAAATAAATATTGTCAATCATGAAACTTAACAATACCTTCTCTTATACCAAAGATATGGCCAATTTTTGTAATAAATATTATACAGAAGTTGGCAAAAGATTAGCAGAAAAAATTGATATCCCTCCTACTAACTATAAAATAAATTATCTCTTATCAAAACCTTAAAAGAAAATAGTTCTCCTGGAATTAATTAGATAACATCTAAATTCATAAAAAAAATATCACAACTCTATTTTAACACCCCTTGTTCACATTATTAATTTAATATTTCAAAGTGGGGAAATTCCAGAACAACTCAAAAGATCAATAATTTCTCCGATATACAAAAATCACATAAAAAATTATAAGCCCATAAGCAAAAATGTTTGAAAAATGTTTAAAGGTAGATTGAATGATTATCTAATAAAAAATGACATACTAAGTGGAAATCAGTATGGGTTTAAACAAAACATGAGCACATGTGATGCAATGTTTGAACTGGTAAATCAAAGTAAAATCAAACCTACACCAAGGTAATAAATGTGTAGCAGTATTTCTTGATCTGGCAAAAGCCTTTGACACAGTACCTCATGATACATTCTTAAATGTTCTAGAACAATATGGAGCTAGAGGTATTGTGTTAAAACTTCTAAAGAATTATCTACTTTACAGAAAACAAATTATTAAAATGAAAGATATGCTAAGTGACCCAGAAGAAATAAAAGTAGGCGTCCCCCAAGGTACTGTTCTTGGGCCAACCCTCTTTTTAGTATATATAAACTCCTTATTGAAGGCACATGATAATGGAACAGTGATTTCATATGCAGATGATACTGCTATAATTTTTAATGATCACACTTTGAAAGATGTAAAGATCAGAACTCAACTGGGCATAAGTGGAGTTAGAAATTGGGTAAATTTTCATAAACTTTCCTTAAATGTTAGCAAAACTACGTTTGTATCATTTTCAATAACAAATGTAAATTGACCGAATTTAACCTACACATAAACAATAACTTCAAAATAAAAACAAACTATTTAGAAATCATAATTGATCAAAATCTCAAATGGAATGAACAAATACAATCTCTTATAACCAAATTGCAAAGGTTTATATACAAATTTTATCAACTGAGAAAGTTTATGAACCGCAAACAGTTAATAATTATTTACAAATCGCAAGTATCCTTCGATATGGGATAATTGGGGGTTTATATGATACAATCTTATAGCCTCTCAGAGTTATACAAAATCACATTGTCAAAATTATCTACCAACAACCATCATTTTACCTGACAGCTCTCCTGTACCATGATGAAATCCTAAACATAAGAACACTCTACTTATACTTATGTTGTATTTTCATATATAAAAAAACCACATCTAAGAACTACTGCTACACATCCCCACAACACAAGATCCAAGTCAAATAACAGCTTGATGACACCAACATGATAGTAACCACAGTTGCTCCCAAAATTTTTAATAAAAGCTACAAATAAACATTCCCAAAAAAATAAATAAATATATATATCAAACAAATGGCCATACAACAATAATATTTTCCTACACTTCACCCCCATGCGAGTGAAATCACATGCAGAGCTTGTGCGAGGCAAGAATGGCTATTATTATTATTCGCTATGGCACTGTGCGACGACTTAAAGATGATTGATGGTACCATTTTATTTACATGTGAGGAAAAACCCGGATCATTATTTGTATATATTAGTTTATTTCCATACAAAGTACAATCTATTTTTACAAATGTTTACTATTTTCTATAAAAAAATACTTCTAATATCACGAAAATCTTATTCTCTAAAGATTAATCTAATGAGTTTGACTTAAAAACAAATTCTAGTATTATAAATTATCTCCAACTATATCTATATTTATTATCTTTAAGAAAGTTACTCTAATATCACAAACATTACTAGGCTTTAGGTACGTTAACTATCTTTGGTTAAAATAATGAAAATTCATGTACTTGATATGAAAAAACTAATGCCTGATTAATTTTCTAAATAAATAAAAAAATTCTTCTTGAATCTTGGGAAATAAGAAAAGTTACGATCCATATAAACTGAAACAGAAAAAAAAATTAAATGCAGTAACTTCAATCATTTTGTTTATCTTTTTGGTCTTTAAAACATTGCCACAGCCCTATTACTATTATAATACTTTCGAATCAAATTGTTGAAATATCTTTGATTCTGAAATTTTGACTGCATTTTTAATGTTACATTTGGAATTAATTAGGGCCGTCTTCAATTTGCAGATTTGATTTTTCTGTTTTCTATTAAAAAATAAAGTTTTTATTTCTAGGAGGTAAACTATTAACTTGAGCGTAGCGCCTCAGTTGCACTACATACGTTAAAATGTCACACACTTAACACTTTTTAGCTAACCCTTCAATTTCTGGCAGTCCTTGTATGATAAAGGATAAACTCATCTAAGCAACTTTGGTTGCTAAGATTTATTATTGATCATGATATTATGACTTTTATATTTTTATATGCAAGACATGTCTTTTTATTCTACAAATTAAATAGATCTTATACATCTTAGTAAAACAATTTATTTATGATGGGATCCGACATTAATTTTATTTAAAAATCCTTTATCTAAACGTTGTTTCTTAGGTAATAGGTAATTCAAATTCATTTGATAACTGACTGTCTGAAATTTTGATCTATAATATTAAAATGTAACTTCCTCTTAACAGATCATCTGTGTACTATTATCTGAGGTGTATCTGGTTTTAAGGGTGCTAAAGGCAAAGCAAATCTTAGCAGTCTTAAAGTCTTGAACAATTTGTGATTGTAGACGATTTTGTATCAAAATGATCTTATAATTCGATTGGTTGTAAGTGGACTGTTTAAAATGTGGAACCATTTGTTTCTTTGGTCAATATCAGAAGGAAAGTAAAAAAAAATATTTGTTTTTAAAATTTAGGTTTGAAATTAACCTATAAAATGTACTATTATGCATTTATAATGAATTTTTCCCTGATAAAAACTCGTTAAAGTATCAAAATATCTTTACTCAAGTTTAAATAATCCTAAATAACATATTATTAAATTTAACTATATTGAGTGTTTGGTTTGTTTACTTTTTGTTGGCAAAGCGCTAGCGTCACCGCAGAAGCGGGCACCCGGGGGAGTTAGCAGGCATGCTGTGAACAGAAAGGCAGGTTAACATTGTACAAATAACTAATAATATATTTTATTTGTTACTTTAGTGTCACACTTGACACAGCATTCAAGCTGCCACAGTTGTCAAAAGTATATGCTACACTCAAGTATGGGTCAAATATTTGAAGCTACACTGAACAAATAATTTGTTGGGATATATAAATTAAAATTGTTGAAATAATACTTTTTGTCTGTTACCAAGCGAAATGTTATTAAATTATTCAGTGTGTTTTACATTTTATTATAATTTTGTTATTATAAAATGGACCCAAGCGCTGGGCGGTGTGGCATCATAGGTTGGCATATTATTGTGCATATCATGCATAATATATAAACCCTCGTATATGCACCTATTGATGCATATTTGATATAGCGATGTTTAATTATTTGATTTGACTAAATTTTCAGCACAAGCGTGGTGATGAATTATACAGAAGTAGAAGCAAAGGTTCGAGAAGCCACTAACGAAGATCCTTGGGGGCCCACTGGTCAAATTATGCAAGAATTAGCTCATTCCACTTTCACAGACGAACATGTTCCTGAAGTTATTTCGATGCTTTGGAAGAGGATGCTTCAAGATAACAAACAGCACTGGAGGATAATGTACAAGGTTTTTGGACTTTATCATTTTGCAACTCATGTGATGATTTAATTTCTTTTTTTTTTTTAGTCTTTACTAGTGTTGAATTATCTAATTAAAAATGGTTCGGAAAGGGTAATTATGTCTGCTAGAGAACATATTTATGATTTAAGATCATTAGAAAACTACACTTTCATAGATGACGTAGGGAAAGATCAAGGAGTTAATATTAGGCATACAGTGAAGGAACTTATCGAATTTGTTCAAGATGATGATCGTTTGAGAGAGGAAAGGAAAAAGGCTAAGAAAAATAAGGACAAATTTATTGGTATGAGTTCAGACACGTTTGGAAGCAGATCTGGTTAGTTTATTTATTTATTTATTTATTTAATGATTGAACCCTTTTCAGAATAAAAAAAATGTTATCAGGATTTAAAGCTGTCCCTATAGTTTAACAATAATGGATTTAAACTTTTCAATGCGGTTTTTAAAATATTGAGTGATAATTGTTTATGTCTAACTAATTTTTGATGGTTATCATCCCTTTGGTCTAAAAGTACTTAATAATGAATTAATATCAACCATAAAAAAATATTGTATCTAGGACTGTTCCCTATGGAACTCCTATTTTTACTGTAACCACAGCATGATAGTAATTTCTTATTTTTATTACTTGTTTTCTTTAATTTAAATAGTTGTGAGGAAAGTCTAATTTATTTAAAGTTTATTTATTTAAAAACACACTATTTACAATTTATTTCAGATGTACTATTTAATTTATGTAATATTTAGACACTAACTAACAATTCTAATTTATTTCTTACACTTTAACTTTTCAATACAATGTTCTACATTAAACTAAACTCGGCCCTGATACGTTTGCTATTTATATTAGTCCAAATCCGCTACTGGAAAATACGAGAGGCTCTCGAACATTCGTTTTTATGACTAAGCGGTACTCTCCGCCATTCCAGTCTCTTCCAGTGCTTCAGCGGCAGACATTCCGTCATATTCTTTTACATTCGAGACGCGGTCCGGCTGTTTCCACACGTCAGCGTTGCTTCGATCACGAATTGGTTGCCATGTGAAGGCCGCGTGCGTACACAGGCACAGGGTCGGATTAGGGATATCATGACATAGTTTTCAAATAATCTTCTGTATCTTTTAAGAACAATTATTTTATTAAAATGGTTACAACTGATTTTTTTTTAAATCAAACGCAGGTCTGGCTTTAAAATAAATTCCAATGCTAAACATTAGAACATAAACATCAAATTTATTTTTCAAATTAAATTCATATAGAAAATAATTTTTCTACTTTGACTTTATAATTTATTTTGTAATTCTATAGCATTAACATTTTTTATAAACTATTTTAATGTTTCAATTTTAGTTTGGATCAATGCATCTTTTCTTCTTGTATGGTATGACTTGAGAGTGTGTATTGAATACATATATGTTGCTCTTTATATATAGTAAGTTTTCATATATTACAGCTGAGAAAATTTTCATGATTTTAAGCTGCTTGAACAGATTTCTAAAGACTGTATTTGCAACAGATCGAATAGCTGCTTTTTGTGGACACCCTTTGTAAATTACTAAAAGATGTACCAGCTCATCCTAAGATACCATATGTTAGGTTAAAGTGGAATAATCCAAATTAAGATAACAAGGCTGTTTCGATGTTGGAGAAGTATAAAATTCTTCGAATGGCATTGTGAGTTTATTGCATCAATCTGTTGGTTCCAGGTTAGATCTATATGTACTCCTAAGAATTTGATGCTGTTTTTATCAGAGTTTGATGAAGATTGGAAGGTGCAAACTTCGGTTTTGTCTGAGTTCATGAACAATTCTTTGTGGTCAAACATTTCTTTGCTGTCTTCATTACTTCTTCACCGAGTTTGGTGTTGTGAGATTTATCACAGTACAAGAAGTTAGTGTCATCTGCGAACATTGTTGTCAATAGATTCGGGAAGTGTGATTTCATGTAGATTGGAAGATCATTTGTGTAGATAATGAAGAGAAGAGGTCCAAGTATGGATCCCTGTGGGACATACTCTGTTGTCTGCCCCTAAGATATGAAGCAATTAAGTCATTTGCAATTCCTCTTATGCCGTAAGAATTAAGTTTCTCGCCAAGTTTTGCATGGTTAACACAGTCAAAAGCTTTGGATAAATCTGTATGTAGAGTAATAGAATTGTCTTTCTTTTCAAAAGCATCTGGTATATTGTTTACGAGGGACATAATTGCATCAGAAGTTTTCTTTCCTTTTCTGAATCCTTATTCTTTAGCGAAAAGGATACAGTTTTCAAAGTATTGCATAATTGATTAGCTATCACATTCTCGACAATTTTGAAAAAAGCTGATAAGATATGGATTTGTCAATAGTTTTCTGGCAGAGTATCATCTCCTTTTTTATGAATAGGTAGATAATTTTAGGGGATCAAGGAAAACCCCTTCAACTAAGCAACTATTATATCCATGAGTGGCGATAGTATATTAAAATAGCATTGTTTAATGATGCGTGTGTTGATCCCATACATGTCCTGGAGTCTTTTTATATTTTATTTTTTATTATTTCAGCGATGTCATATTCACTGACCGGGTTAAAACAGAATGCTTTTTTATTTCCATACTGATGGTTGAGTAAAGGTTTATGGGTTGGTATATGATCGTTTAATATTTTTTTCTGTATATTTAATAAAAAAACTCATCGAAAGAATTCACATCTATGATGTTATCTGTAGTGTGATCTTTAGTCCTCCCTAGTTCCCCATTAATTATACTACACACTGTTTTTGTTTTATAGCTGGATTTATTAATTTGTTCACAAATGGATTTTTGGTTTGTTATAATAACGAGTTATAATTGTTCTTTTGTTTATGATATTGTGCTTTGTTGAAAACTGTATGGTTGGCTTTATATGTGTCTGATTTTTATATCTAGTATTTTGACTTATATTTAAAAAAATTTTTTTTAATTAAAGGAAAGTAGAAACTAAAGTGTGTTAAAAAAAAATTCTAGGAAAACAGAGGTTTTTGCAATAGCTGAAGTGGCATCTTTTGTGGTGCTCTACGTCTCGTTTTGTAATAAATAGTTTAAAGTCGTAACGTTTTGAGACATATTTCTGAAGCTTATATTTTCGTCGACATTTCTGTTGTTCTTACCTATATTAAAAGTTAACATTTGAGAATCATGATCAGATAATACCTCTCTTACCACCGTACTCTTTTTATATTGAAAATTTGATAAAATATTGTCAGGACATGTATGTCGTGGGGTCGTTTAGTGAGCACTTAATGAACTGATTCATTTAATTGGTGTTTATGAACCACAAGACGTTACAACTTTGTCGAACTAGTAAAAAAACAATTAAAACTAACAAAACAAATATATATGATGTAAGAACGATTCAAGCACACCGCTCGTTAACTGTCTATTCGCTCGAGCCCCGTCTTCTCTCTTCATTCCAGCGTTGCCGGGTTGTGTTGCGAAATTGGGTAGTGTTACAATGTTTTAGATCTGTGCGTGATACGTGTGTATGTGAATATTGTTTGTTCTAAGTTAAATTCATTAAATCTGTGAATGGTTTGGTGGCATTGTTAGGTTCTAAAAATTTTAGGCTAAAATCACCACAAATGAAAGTATTTGTATTGTGATATTGATTATCTAATAGTATTAGTGCCTGGTTCATAGTGTCAATAAATAGATTAAAGTTAGATTCGAAATTATAAGATCTATATACAACTACAACAACTAAGTTTGAGCTCTTTATATAAACAGCCGTCATTTCACAGTGTAATTCAAGAGATAGTTTTTTTATGAAGGATAGTTCTTTAAAAGCAAATGATTTATGAATGTGAATACTCACGCCTCCGCCCATCCTTTTAGTTCTACAGTAAATTTTATCATTAAATTGCTATTAAATACTTTCGTGTTTCAATAGAGAGATATTCAAATTTTTATAACGTCGGCCACTAATAGTGACAAAGTATTTAGAGGCATATAAATTTCATGGTAAAATAAGACTTATTGCAAACCTGAAGGTTTGACATTAGAGTCCTTGTCCTTATACATATTTCTGACCTTATTTTAAAAATTTTAAATTACAATTCATCTTTTTTGTTGACTATAATAGTATATAATATGGAAGATGTATTAGAAATTACCATTTTAGAAGGTTTAGATAAGGATAATATTAAATATATTATACTAAAAAACTTCGAACTGATACGAATGTTAGCGATTTCACCCGAAAGCTATAAAGTCGCCACTATCTGCTGCCCTTAAATCCACAATTAAGGACAGACACAATCTTTAATAGAGATATATTGAAAATTTCTATAACGTCAACTACTAATAGTGACATCGTAATTAGAGTCAAATAAATTTCATGCTAAAATCAGACTTATTGCAAACCTGAAATTTTGACATTAGAATCCTTGTCCTTATACTTATTTCTAACCTCATTTTAATAACTTTAAATTATAGTTCATCTTTTTTGTTGTCTATAATAGTTCATATTATTGAACAGGCATTAGAAATTATAATTTTAGAAGGTTTAGATGACGATTATATTAAATATTTAATATTAAAAAACTTCGAACGGATAGGAATATCGGTAAGCGCACCCGAAAGCTATAAAGCCGCCACTACCTGCTGTCCTTAAACATCCACAATTAAGGACAGGCACAATCTTTAATAAAGTCAGTTTTAGAACATAAAAGATCTGCGCAGGCTTAGATGTCAAAATAAGAACGACACTAATAGTGACTTGCAATAACTCTCTAATAAAGTCAGTTCTAGAACGTAAACAATCTGCGCATGCTTAGATGTCAAAATAAGAGCGGCGCTAATAGTGACTGACCTTAAGTGAACTTGCAATATCTCTCTAATAAACAAATAAAATTTCTGAGACATGCCGTTTTTTGAAAACAACAGAATACTTCATAACATATTAATATGAATTTAAAAATAAAATGTATTTTGAATAGTTTGTAAATTATCACAGGATGTGACTGATAATAGTAACACTTGATAGACTAATAGATATATACGGTATCCGACAACGAATACCTTCTAATATTCCTTGACACAAGTGTGTGAAGCATATGTGAGACAGTTTTTTGATGTTAAAATTCACAAATTTCAAGATATTGCGATACTGGGAGTCAAATACCTTTGTAAACAAACTTACTGTCTCACTCATTCACGTCACTGTCATCTGCGCTGTACCATACCTTCTTTTTTTAACATCATAATTGCCACATATCAAATTAGGAACAAAACAGTCTAAAATTTAAATTCTGTCTTTTTTTTTCGTTATTTATATTTTCTTTCCTCATTCATTAATAAAATTTCTGGCATATACCTACGAACCATAACATTGCATTTGATTCAGGCATAGGGGGATATGATACTTGGAAAGACCGATCGTCCTACGGCGGCAGAGAAACGAGAGAAAACGATCGTTCGACGAAGAATACAAAGTGGACAAAGAGGACAACGATACGGAGACAAGAAACAATTGTCGAGATAATAGCATTAAAACATTCAAAGACGCCAATATTCCCACCAGTCCTACTAGGCACGTGGTGGATAAACGTGTCAACATTAATATTAACACTTCATTAAATAGTTCTTCGAAGAAAATTACCAAACAATTGAAGAAAGTTGATTTAGGTGCTGCAGCTAATTTCGAAAGAGGCGCTAGTCAGAGCCCTGTACCGCTCGCAGGTAAAAATTATTTTTGATGAAGGACAAACGTTGTGCATTTTGTGCTCATTAAAATGGTGCGAAGAAACCTTTGATATCTAGGGGGAGATTCAAAATATCGGAGAAAAAATGAAAATTGTCATTTCTTTAAATTCATTAATATATTTATTATAAAGGACAACATATTTGGCATTGCATAATTTAAGAAGTATATTTAGGAAGAAAAATTATTGTTAAACTTTGCAATATTTTATCAAATCAACTGGAATAAGTAGAAATAATTTAAATAATGTTAAAAAACTGTGACACGAAGCCGATTCTGTTCTTTGCATGCGGTATGAATTCTAGCGCTATCCATATAGAGACAAATGCACTGCTTGAGAAGCTACCGGATAGATCACGGTGTGGCGTCTGAGACTTAGAGAAGAAGTTTCCGAACGTTCTGGATCCCCGAGAGCGTTCTGGTACAGAGCTGGCTTTATATAAATAGCGCGAGTTTGTCGATGGATGGAAAGTTTCAATTTAAGTGCTGTATAGAAAAAATAAATTGTAATAATTAAATTAGAATTGTGAGGTATAATATATAGTGTCTAAGTATTATATAAATTAATTAGTATGTTATAAATAAATTGTAAATAAAGTGTTTAAAATAAATAAACTATAAATAAAATATATTTTATTTAATAAAGATAATTTTCATCCGTTAAACAGATGGGTGAAGATCGACCTTACTTCGGATCTTGGACCAATATTAATATCAATATTTTGTTAACAGGCAATGATTTATTAAACGACAACTTTGATCCAAGTGTCTCCGAACCCCACCTAGAAGCGAAAGCCTCCTCCAACGAATTCGGCGATTTAGCGGCTTTGGGCAATCCCCCGGATACGATTCAAGAAAAAGAAGACAATTTCGCCGACTTCAGCTCAGCCTTGTCACCCAATTCTGGTTCAGATACCGCATCACAGTACTCAGCCAAAAATCCTCTTACCGCGCTGTCTTCTAATAATATCGACGGTGCTGTTGCTGCTCCGGAAGTTGGTGGTGTGTTGTCTACGGTGCAGAAGACCAACATCGATTTGGATTTTGGATCGTTGAATATTCAGCCTCAACCCGTTGCTCCCAATAATAATTTTGGGCTGATGGGTAACTCAAATGCCGATTTTATGAGTTCAGGTAAGAAGTTTTTTTCTTAAAAATAGATAATTCCCAATCAATAATGTAAAATAAATTCTCATTATGTTACAAAATAATACATTTTTCGGGGGGAAACTGTCGCTTGTATTGTTTAAAATTCTTATAATAGGTTCATGTTAAGATAAATTTGGAAAACTAGTCATAGAATTTTACCAATAAGAATTTCGAACAAGTACATTAAGAACTATACGATATTAATTATTAAGAGACTTTGACGGTGGTATTTTTCTTTTTTTCGGCATTTCGGCTATTTTTGTTCGTTGAAAATACCTACTTTGACCGAAAAAGATTTGTGGAATCATGAATCACCTTGTAAGTGATTATAGTAGTGAAGTATGTATATTGACTACACAGAAAGAGCGAATAACTTCCAAAAGTATTTAAGGGTGATTTTTGGTGTCCATTTTAAATATTTAAGAATTTCTAACTTGCAACATCCTGTATCTCAAAATCTAGTCATACGATAGCTTTGGAACCATGGACACTTTTGATGGGGACATTAAGTTATTTAACATATCAAAAATTCAGACATTTTGTCGATACTCCCGTTTGCATAAGGAAAGTGCATGGTTCTTGTCAATTTTTAATTGGCTATTATCTTTAACTTTTGATCTAGGTTTATTTATATATAAGTCCTTTATTTATCAATTTTCTAAAACATTCAATAATAAAAAATACATAGTACATAAAAACATCAGTGATTAAAAAATAAGAGTATAAATAAAATATAATTTTGTAATTAATATAAATATTTCAAAATAAAAAAACTGCGAGAGAAGGTAGATTATCTTATAATATTATCTCTGTATCTAACGTGTGGAGGGTGGGTTACCCCCCACTGCACTTATGCCTCACTAGGCCCATTGTGCATCCTCCTTAGATGACGGGCACCTCCGAGCTCGTGAGCCACCCTACAGATTTAAAGTAGTTGACAACGTCGCCAAGAGGTGCTTCTCTTTTCTCAAAATTTCCTATTTGCAGAATGACCAGGTCATTTGCTTACCCTATTGTGTAATGACTGTCATTATTGTACATAGAGTACTTATTTCATTATTAAAATAATTAAAATTTTACATAATGAACATAGTAAGCATTTTCTGTCTGTCATTGTTTTTTTTCTCCTGGGCTCGTCTGACTATGTGTCTCCGAATAACACTGAAGCCTATTGGCTTATTGTGTTTTACCCCATGTTAGTTCATAGCACCCACTCTATCACCTTTGTACCTTGTACAAGTTTGTACAGATCCTTGGGTGAGTGGGTTCTATACATTGTTGGATCAACCTGGGGTTGTCCAAAAAGAGCCTGTCTTTTGCGATCTAGAGCTTCGCATTCGCACAGTATGTGTTTGGCCGTTTCTGGTTTCTTGTGACATAGTCAGCACATGAGTTCCCCATTGTACATGCCAGTTTTGTTCAGGTGTCCCTTTACTGGGGCGTGTCCAGTCATGAACCCTTTTATCACTTTCAACTGGTTCCTATTCATTAAGAGTTGTTCTCCAGTTTTTTTGGGACATGGTCTGCCTATGAAGGCTTTTCCATGTGCCTGTTTTAGGGTGGTTCCCCAATAGTTGATATGTTGTTCCCGAATCCAGTCATTTATAAAACCCCGGACTGTACTTTTTGGTACTCCTGGGTTTGTGTCTGGTTCCGGTGTTTCTTCTGACTCTCTTTTTACAAGTTCGTCAGCCTTTTCGTTGCCTTCGATCCCTTTGTGACCTGGCACCCAAAATAGTTTTACTCTATTTCGGTCTGCCAGTGTTCTTAGTTCTTCGATGCATTCCCATACCAGCCTCGACGTAACTTTCTGACTCGATATGGCCTTAAGTACCGCTTGGCTGTCTGACATTATTTGAATATGCTGATTTTCAAAGACTGTATTCATGCGGTGTTTACTTTTATTTGGGACATACGTACGGGGTTTTGATACTGCTTTTTTCTTAATTTCAAGTAAACCAGCAACATAAGCTGTTCTATTATAATCCTCCACAGCCCAATATTCAGTAAAGAGTTTATGTCTTTCTTCTTCAGAAATATTTTCTCTACACTTATTTCTGCAATGTTTAAGAGGCTGCATGGTGCGTGAAGCTCTTTTTTTTCCTTTGGAATTTACATATTCCTGGCCAGTATTACGTTTCTCCTTTCTGTGCTGTCGTAGAGCCCTCGTATCTTCTTTTATTGCACGCTTTTTGCCCCTATTATGTCTGGCTCTATTGGTATTGTTGGCAATAACTTGCTCCTCTCTATTTGCTGTAGTCTGTCGTTGTCTTATTTGAATTGTTAACATCTTCATCGCTTTCACTACCAGATGAAGTCCCAGGTTGTTCAAAATCTTGATCCCTAATAGAATCATCAAGAGTCAATGATAATTTCCTTTCGGACAGCTTCGTCCAGTGAAGGAGCTTCGCTGCTCTGATCGTCCTCATGTGCAACCATCAAAGAATATCTTTATAATACCTGAACTGTTGTTTATCTTATGTAAGAGTTTGAACATGTACTTTGAAATACATTTCCCTATTTTGTTGGAAAAAATATAAACTTGGCAACGTTTCCACACTGGAAGCCGAACGCGACCCAGGACGAAACAAGTTAGGTTCTGTTCAGTTATCAGTTTGTTTCAACTTTCCGATTAAATTAATAATTTTATAACTTACCTTCATGAGTATGAGTTTCATTATTGCTTTCTTTCAATAAATTCAAAATTTTTTGTGCCCTGCTGCTCATCTTTCACAGTCAGTTTGTCTATATACCTGTATGTGTATACCTGTATGTGTCGAGCGAACTAGACGTGTTGCTACTGTGCTGCGACTAAAAGTTAAAATTCATAGGAAAACGTGCAAATAAAAATTTGATTTTTACGCTAGGTATAGTGTTAATAACAAAGAATCGATTTTTGTATAAATTATAAGTGAAAATTGATCCAAGAAGCTGTAAGTACAACTGCATTTCTTTTATATTAATATGGATACTCGAAACCGAAAAACCTCGACAAAGGGAGAGGAAGAACTGCACAACTTGCATACAATAGTCAAGACTCTGGTTACTACATTGTGTACCTCAGATGAATTCATATCTACATTGATTAAAACAATAACCGAGAGTCTTAATGATAAATTTAAGAAAGATTTTCAAAGTTTAAAAGATGAAAATAAACAATTAGTGAAAAAATTACAAAATCAGGATCAATCAATAAAAAACCTAATCAACAGACAAGAGATATAATAATAATAATAATAATAATAATAATAATAATAATAATAATAATAATAATAATGTTTATTTACAGATAACTTGTTTTTACAGTGATACGCTAAAATAAAAATTACAAATATAATAAATATTGTAAATAAACACAGGTGACCCATAAAACCTAAGGGTTGTGCATGGGCTTGATAATTTATTTTTCCTACGACCACTTAGGAAAGTGACACATATCACACTATATAGTCCTATGGAAAGTGCCCTATATCACACGCGTATGAATAAGAATTTACTTTCCACCCGAGTGAGAATATGTTACTTTCCGCAGCAGCTGTCATAAAATGTCAAACCCATAATTTCTATTTTGATCAATATAATGTCCATATTAATACTAATATCGATATGATTGTTAAATTATTGAAATTGTTGTAAATTAGATCCTAGATATTTATCTTTAACAATTATTATTAAAATAATTTTAAAATAACTAAGATTAGGTTTGCTTTTTATTCTGGTTAAACATATAACGGATTAGATCATTCAATTGAGGAAAGGCCTGTTAGCTCAGTTGGTTAGAGCATCAAACTATCAAATTTGCCATTTCAGAGACCTGGCGAACGACCGCGTTCGAATCCTGGCGGGGCCAGAACTTTTTTTTTGTTCTTTTTTATTTTTTTTTTGTTTTTTAATTTTTTTTTGTTTAAAAAATATGAAAATTGAATAAATACGATTGTTGTTGATTATTTTTTTAAATACATTTTAATTATTATAATAACCTGGTTTTACATTTTTTGATGAAAATATTTTGTGGTCGTAGGAAAAATATTGTACATCACTTGTGTGAAAAGTGATTTTCCACACTCGTGTGATAGTCGCACTCGGCTTGTGCCTCGTGCGACAATATTTCTCACTCGTGTGAAAAATGTCACTTTCCACACTCGTAATGTAATATACTATAAATTATTTGCTCTATTTATTAATTTTTTTCTTTTAACAGCATTATAATATACATATAAATTATAGCTATGAAGTAATGTAATGTACCTAATGTTTTTTTTTATCATTTTTTTTTTTTTACTTAATTCGAATATTTTAAACTAACTACAACTATTTACCAAAGAATGTAATATATTTCTATCGGTAATTTTAAGAAATGATTTTATTATAGACTTAAAAAGATTATATGAATTTATAGTCCTTATGTACAATTTGTAAATATCTGGAAAAAAGTTATAAATTTTTTTTGCTAAATAACTCAGTTTCCTCTGACCTAATGCTTTTTTGGCAATAGAAATTCTAGTATTTCCTGCATGTCTAGTTCGAGTTTCATAAGTGTGTTCAATTCCACAGATTGAAGATCTATTTTTGTAAAGATAGTTTGCAACATTATAAACGAAGAGTTGTCGAATATCAAAAATATGTGTTTCTTGAAACAATAGGTCTGAAGGGTAAGTTATATCTTTAAAATACATTATTTTAATTATTTTTTTTTTTGAATGATCTCAAGTTTTTTTAGGTGGGTCAGCAAAACTGAGCCCCAGACTAATATGGCATATGATAAACGTGACTCCACAAATGCGTGATATAAAATTTTCAGGTGAGTTATGTCTAAACAATTTCTCATATATTTAAATTTATATAAAACGTGTCTTAAATTATTTACAATGTTATTTATGTGTTTATCCCATTTCAAATGAGAATCTATATGAATTCCTAGATATTTAGCCTCATGTTTGAGGAAAATATTTATTTGGTGTCCATGATTTATGATTGTAAGTTTA